CCTCAGTGTTGCCAACAGTCCAATAACACTCACACATGTAGACAAACTTTTGTTTGAAAAACATTTGTTGTTAGTGTCTTTACATTTCGTTCTTGTTGCAGTTTCATTTTTATGCGTTTTGCACAATTGCAAATCCCGCACGAGCCGCACTCACACAAGCCCGTAAATTCCACGGTTCCACAGACACACACAACCAAACATCCCGTCTATTTCAATTTTCCGGCAAGGAAAATGCGCACATTTTTCGGATATTTACAATGGAGAAAACATAAAATAATAGAGGGTAATTTAGCAGGCTAAACATTGATTTAAGCTTGCGATAAAATAGCTGATGACGCAATCGCTACTCAGCCTTGAAACTCAAGACAAAACGAAAGCAAGTCTATTATAAATGATAAATGTAATGTTTTAAGAAAATCTTACAAAAGTTTAATTTTGATCCTAACTCACGTACGAGAGTAATAGTTTTAGAACAGCTTGAAATCTCAAAAAAATTGAAGTTTAGGAAAACATTATAAAGAATGGAATCATTAAACTTTGTAAATAACTTTAAACTCTACCCCCAGTTTTAATACCCACAAAAGCAAAAATAAAAGGTTCCAATATTAAATTTGCTTACGATATAATTCCTAGACTTTGCCTTACAAAATATAGGGCAAAGATTCAGTGAAATCTGTGCCTGTTAACATGGCAAACTTTTTAATTAGGCAGTTAGAAATTGAGCAAACAACCTGCCCAGAATCCGGAGAGAGCGCATCGAAAAAGGTTTAGCTACGCTGAGTGAGAAGGCCATTTCTCGAAAACCCTCTATATCTAGGTGACAGGGCGTGAATCACTCTATCCACCATCTCAAGTTGAGCCATTGGCATAGTTCTGTGCAAGTTAGCACTTTATTAACATAATGGCCGTTCATAATGGGTTCCCAACGCCGGAATCATTCAGCTAAGTGGCAGGGCGATAACATCCCTATCGCATCGCCATCGCTATTCAGACCATTCACCGACTTCCGATTCCCGCGATTACACAACACCCACCGGAGCATGATAATGAAATAAACCAATTCATGCTAATTTGTTGCTCCCCCTCTTTTTATTTGGTGCAAATATGAAAGGAAATCCACAATGAATGTGCCTGCAAGGTCGGCAAAATAAATAAAACAGCCGCGGAGCGTGGGGCTATATATGTATATGATATAGGGGTATTGGCTCGTGTGCTCTTATTTATTTGATCTGTTATTGTCCGGGGGTTCTGAACATGTTTATTAGCTAAGATAAGAGATATCGCCGCATTGGGCCCCAAAAAAGAAACCCTTTGCGTCATAACTCAAACTCGTTAATTGCTGTTAGGGGAATTAAATACTCTGGGGTCTATAATATAATATGATGAAATCATTGTTAATTTCCCTTTCTGTTATTTTCTAAGGCAAATAGCAAGGAACCAGTTATTATATGCTAAAATTAGTGCAATTGGCAACTTTCCGCCCGTTTCGCTTATAATGAGAGGGTGTGATTGATGTCTAGTGTAAACCCTATACCTCTAAGTGCCCTGCTGAAAGACAGAACAAGGTAAACAAAGCCAGCGAAGCCGTGTAGAATGCAAATAGCCAAAGAAGTGGCAAAATCATTAGTCCAATAACAGGCGGTGAATTGAGTGTGCCAGCACGAGTATGGATAGGTCCCAAGTGTCTGGGTCTATCGTCTACCACGACTACGGGTTTTTGCTACGGTTCTCGACATTTTTTTCCGCTGAGTGCGTCATTTGTGACGCCTACGTGGAAGGCGGACGACTGTCTTTTATCCGCCTGCCTACCCCAACATTGATTTTCTGGGCTCCGGCGAAAGAAGAAAAGAGGTTAGTGGGTTTTCCCATTACTGCAGTCTGTCAACGACTCTGCGGCAACAGACGACCGACCATACCATCCATCCTATAGAGTCGAATAACCGTATAACGGTGAAGGTAGTGCACGGAACCGTACTTGACTAGGTCGTCGTAGTCGCTAATACAATCAATCAATCGCCTTGTTTACCCCCACACAACCAAGTGGGCGTGCTGTTGTTGTTGCTATTCTTAATTGATATTGGTTTAGTTCGTGTCAATAAAGCGCCATTGAACCGAAAATCAAAACATACACAAGGAGATTGCCGAAAAAAATGTGGAGCCATTGTTCACTTGGCATTAATTTGAGACTTCAAGTACTCGGTAATTGAAAGCCGAATGTGACGTGAATGCTAAATAGTATCTGGCACTGGCTTTATCAGCCTTTATGCGTTCACAGGCGATTATTGGGAATTAGGAATTTCCTGATAAGCTTCTCTTTATTTCCATTAGTGTCGTGTTCAGATTCCCTGAAGGTAATCCCCGTAAACACTTGTTCTAGAGTAAACATGGGATTCCATTACCAGGCCAGTTGGGGGTTCCCTGAACCCTTTCCCAAGTAGAAGTGGTACTACGCACTTTAATTAATCTTACAATTAGCCGTGAGTTACAGTTACACATCGTATATTGATTGAAAATAATACTCGAAGAGTACCACGGTTGTCCGAAATCAAAAATGTTTTCTAAAACTGATGATAGATTGTATTTTGATTGAAAACAATAATACTGGAGGACTATCTTCAGAAAACCAGGATTGAAAAATTGCCCAAATGGAAACCTTTGTCACTTTTATATCAGAAAATCTCATTGCAGAACAATCACTGAGATGGTCTGTTTTCCCCCCTCAAAGTGCAGCTTATCCTCTTGTGGTCTTGTGGTATCTTCAACGCCCAGTTGACTGTGTTTTCTTTTGGAATAGGGGCATGACATTGCGGATAACAAACAAGACTTCCGACCAGACCAAATACGAATCGAATGGATGGGTCGTAAGAAATGCAGGAGAGCCTCTCCCCAATTGTCATTGGTGTCGTTGGATGTGAAAACAAATCAATTCGAACCAATTTCAATTTGAGCAGCCAGTGGTGCAGTAGAAGGGGGGTCACATGCAAGTCGTCAGGGGGTCAAAGGGGGTGTGGATGAGAGAAAAGTGTGGGGGGGGGGGGGGGGTGTATAGCGGCAGCCGAGTGTAACTGATTGATTTAACTTTTAACTGTGCAGCCTGCTGGTTGTTGGATGTTGGTTGCCGGCTGCTGGTTGCTTGACTAGCTTGACTGCCTGCCCGACTCAACAACTTTGCCCCAGGGGGCCCACTATCTCTACGCCAGTTTACAGGGGAGCTTGTCAAGAAGAACACCACAAATATTTTATTGCATGTTATATTATTTAACGGATTTCACTTAAACATGTTACGCCTTTAAAGTTGCTGTTCAATCTGTAAGCTCTGTCAATCACTTTAATAGTAGCCATATGATACTTGCTTAAATCTTCACTGAATGACTTATTTATTTAAAAAGTCTTGGCGACCTTAATATATTTAAAAACATGTTTTCATTTAATATATTAATTCACCTGGTTTTTATGGATTGCATGTATTTAATTCTCTCAGGAATCGAAACTCAATATAATGTCATATAACATCTTTGGATTATAATATCCATCTATATCATCTCTTATTAAATATATAATAAAACCTTAAGCTAATTAATGCAACTTGCTAATTTATTTGTGAAAATAAAAGTACAAATGTAGTTTGTCCGAACCAATGACATGGCTCATTTGAATATGGGTTGAGTTACAGGGTTTTCACTGTTTTTGTATCTTGTAGCTATCGTTCGCTGCTCCCCTCCGGAGCGTGAAAGTGAAATGCAAAAGTAATTTTTTGATGCGAGTATAGCTGTGTGTTTGTGTGCACCTGCTGCTGGCTGTTTTAGAGTGCCTAATCGAATCTGGAGGAGCTTCCTCGGCGCTGGGAGCCATTAATCGCGGCTTGTTATCAAAAGCGGCGAACACGATTCCGTAGTGGCCAAGAGTAGAGAGTGCAGCAGGGAGCAGGGTGTTATGCAGATGCTGCCACGGGGAAAACATCAAATTTGCATTACGAGTTTGACTTTCTTTTCATTTTCGCTCAGAAAATTGCACAAGGGGGTGGTTTGGGCGGCCTGGGTGGCTTGTTTGTTATGTAACTCCTCCGCTTGTCGACATTTTTGGCTGGCACAATTAATTTAAGCACAGTTTTAATTGAATTGCATCGTCCGCCCGCGGCCAGCAGCAGCAGCAGCCATATGTGGCACCCACTCTCTCTCTCTCGCTGCAAAGTTCTCTGGGTCCTCTCTCTTACCCTATTTTTCCCCCCATTTCTCGCTCTCTTCTCGGCCCCATGCAGACTTCTCTTGTGCAGACACAGAAGTCGTGGTTTCCCCAGCGATATAGTGAGAGCATAAATTAGTGCGACTTTTAGTTTTAATTGCCGCCCGCAATTCGCGTCAAGTGTCTCCGAAGGAAGCCAGCACACCCAACTTCCCTTAATACGTATACACCATCCTGTGCATTAATAATAAAAGCCTGGGCCAAGTCAGGAAACCCCAGGAACTAATTATGCAATAATAGTATAAAAGTAATTTGTGCTTCTTGTGCATGCATTTCCCATGAATCCAGAAGCGCGTGTGGCTTACTCAAAATTCCCCCGACTTGTAGGGCCTATGCTGTGTGTTACATAGCATATTTATTGAATAATCTATGAGTGCTATCCGGAGGTGAAGGTTCCACGTACCACTCAACCCCGGATACGGACACCGACACCGAAAAGCTCTTCTGCCCCGTTCTCATACGTCAGCAAGTAAATAAGGCGCCAATGTCGTCCCACGTTGTGATTTCATGCTGTTTTTCGCCCCTCCTCATTTTCCGCATTTCCACGCGCCTCGCAACGCAGGCCCATCGAGAAGAAAATTAAAAATAGTTTACAAGTGCCGACAGCCGGGGTTTGGCTATGCCTAACATGCGAATAATAATAACAAAGCCAACTCGAGTCGAAGGAAAATCAATAGGCTTTGCGTTGTCAATATAATCGAGGGGCATTGCCAGTGATTCGCCTACTAAATGTGCCTCTGTCGGTCTTCCATTCGCAGGTTGAGGCCGGGGATGTCATCCTCAAAGTCAACGGAACGGATGTCCATCGCTACACAACGAAGGAAGGTGAGTTCTCGAGGGGTGGCAGGGGGATGGGGATGTAATGGATAAGGAAAGCTGTGAATAATTAACCAAAACATATTCCCAAACAGTTCTCAAATGCCTGCGCCTGTCGGAACAGCTGGTGACCTTGGAGCTGAAGCGAGGTAGGTGGAAATGTATATCAATCTTCAAGGATGCAAACTGGTTTCGAGCCAAACTGAACTGAATCAAACCAAACCTAACTGAACTAAACCGAATCAAACCAAACATCTTTACCAATTTTTTTTTGTCAATGTTAATTTAAATGACTCACTATAATTTGTATTATGTTGTATTGGGGAGTAAAATTAAATATTTTGGACTAGGAATCTGACAAAGTTATTTTTAGACGTCTGACTATATGTGAAATCACTTTTTAAACCTTCTTGTATAAAACCATAATTGGATGAAAGTTAAAATTTATTATGATTTAACAGAAAAAGTTGGGTGTCAAAGGAAGTAAGATGCTTAAAAATGGTTTTCTCTTATAATCCTTACCTGACGTCCATTTATTATAGATTGGTATTTCCCTTTTGAAAAATACCACTGCCTTAAACATGTTTTGTTAAATTCGTTTTAATTGTTTGTTTATATATATATATAAATAAGAACAATTACCGACCTTTAGTAAATGTGATCGGTTTGCATCATAGACTACCACATTTTTTGACCGATAAGTAATGCTCTTTTCTCTCCCCAGATCCCAAGCTCAAGGCGCGGATCAAAGAGCAGCTGGCCAACACGCAGAGTCCGCACTATGTGGACATTGAGTCGCCAAACATCTACGACTACCACAGCAACAGCACCAACTCCTCGCCGAATCACCGGGCCAACGCCGGCGGAAAGGGGGCGGCGACGACCACGCCCTCTCAGAGCGGACTGCGCTACAAGTCGCCCACGCACTTGCCATCGCTGCGGCAGAATTCATCGCCCCTGCTGGCGAGTGGATCAACCACAACCACGACCACCGCCACCCATACGCACACCCACAGTCGCAACTCCTCGGCCAGCTCCACCAAGATCAAGGTGGTGGAGACGAGCATCACCACCTCGACCACGGGCATAGTGGGTCTTGCCTCACCCACCGGCAGTGCTGGTGGTGGTGTTTGTGGTGGAGAGGCCACCTCGCCCACCTTTCGTCCCTCACGCATTCCACAAGCGCTGACCAAATGTGCCGTACCCAAACCCGTGCCCGTTCTCCATTCGCCCCAGAATAAACGGCCACGCCCCTCGCAGATTCCGACAAAAGCGGCGAACGGCAACGGGAACGGCCATACCGCCCAGCTGCCACCCCAATCGCTGCAGCATTCAAACAGCTACAGCGGCAGTCCGGTGACCAGGCAGCGGTTCACGGACAGGGAGCAGGAAAGGGAGCCGGAACCGAACTCGGCGCCACCGCAGCCGGCGAAGGCGCCACGCTTTGAGGCTTATATGATGACCGGTGACCTGATCCTCAATCTGTCCCGGACACCGCAAACCAGCAATCCTCTGCCCGCCCAGGCCAAGAAGGTAGGAGAGCGCTACATTGTAATACGTATTTAAATCACCAAACTAAAATATTCTTTCCTTGCAGGTGGACAGCCTCCGGGATTCGCCCAGTCGCCTGGTTAACGCGCGTATCAATGGTGCATTAGCACCACGTGCCTCTGGTGAATCCTCGCCCACTTCCTCATCCTCGGTGGACTCGCCCACCAACACCAGCTCGGATTCGGTGAAGCGCGAGGCGAAGTTGCTGCGGAAACAACAACAACAACAGCAGCAGCAACAGCAGCAACAACAACAACCTCACCAACAGCAACAGCAGCGGGACAGCATCAATAACAGCTACAACCGCAAGGATTCGCTGACCAACGACACGCTGCTAATGTGCGAGGAGCTGGAGCCCGATGAGGAGGGCGAGTACGTGTTGGAGGAGGACAACAAACAGCAGCGACAACGCCAACAGCAGCATCGATACCGCCAGCAGCAAAACCAGCAACGCTACGAATACTACCAAAACGATGACGAGCTGGAGGAGCAGGAGGAGGTGGAGGAGCGTGAGGAGGATCAAACGCACTACGACATCACCAACATCGACACCTACCAGAGCGGAATGGGCCGTGGTGACGAGGATGACAGCGATCGGCAGTGTCTGGTGGACGACGACGACGATGACGATGCCTACGACGAGGAGGAGAACGATGCCGGCGACGAGGATTACTCGACCAACTCGCTGGGCTCTGGTTCGGCCAAGCAGAGATTGCGGGCGCTTAAGCAACGGACCGCTACCCGCCAGCAGCAACGAAATCGGGATGCCGTCGACTGCGCCGGACGCTCCGGATCGGGATCTTCGTCCACCACGGTCAAGAGCGAGGCGGGCGGCCTGGGCCTGGACGAAACCTCCTTCTCAGTGCCAACCTCACCAATCTCGCTGTCGACGCCACTGATCGACAAGGAGACGGCCAACTCCGTGCCCACCAGCCCGGAGCCCAGTTCGCTAGTCCCGGAGTCGAGCAGTGGCGCTGGCGCCGGAGCAGTCGTGGTGCGCCGGCACAACGGGCATGTGGTGCGGAAGTGCGATGCCGCCGGTTTCCGCACCAGCAAGTCCGAGGACCATCTGCAGCAGATCCAGCGCGAGGGCATTGCCGCCGTGATACCCATCGACATCGATGAGGATGTGAATAGCTCGCTGAACACGCTGCTGGACACGCGTCAGGACTCCGAGGACTCGCAGGTGAGGCGTCGCCGGGCTTAGGCACTCCCACTCCACCAGGATAGTCCGCCGCAATAGAGCTAGCGAACCGTCGAGCAGTCGAATTTTCCTTCCGCCAGATCTCCCCCAGAACACTCGACACTTGTAGTTGATGAGTTACTATCCCTGTTACGCTCCCCGTTCTCAAGTGCTTTTGTAGAGTACGGTTTTCATTAACTGGTTTCTGTAGTCTGTTGTCTATTGTACATCTATGTGTTTTGCGTGTGTGTTAGCCATTGCATTGTTCTATAAGTCATTCCATACCATCTAATCTCATCCCTAGACCTAGACCCAAACCCACTGTTATTCTTGCTCACTTGTTACTTTGAACTTTTCTACTTAACTTACTTACTTACTACTAAACTCTCTGTCTGTCTTACTCTCTTGTTTCGTATTTCTTTCTTTCGTTTTCTCGTTTCTCTGTTTCCTACTTTGACTCTTCTCGAATCGATTTGATATGCGCAATTTATTGTCCCCCGTGAGCTTTCTAGTCGATGGCCACTGTAATTGCAAACAACTCGCCACTGGCCTCGAACAACAACGAGGGCGAGCAGAACGACAACCGCAGCAGCAGCAGCAGCTCCAGCGACAACAATAATTGCAGCAGCAGCAACACCAGCGAACCAGCAACATCAACTGCAACAATCACGACTGCAACTGCAACATCAACGAGAACGATGAATTGCAGCAGCAAATTAAACTATATTTTATGCAAAAAGGTTGCCATTTGCATAGTTGGCATGCTGATTAATGTGACTTTTGATTTTGGTTTCGTTTCGATTTTGCCACTTTTGATTTCTTGCCTGCGCTTGGAAAAGTTTTGTATGTAGAAGATGAGAGCCTCTCGCCACCAAACGCTTGTCCACAACGTACACACTCCACAACACACACCCAAGTTTCCGACACTCTCACACAGATCAGACACCGAACGCTTCCAGCACTCGGAAAATTGTTTAGGACTCCTCAGAGAGATTGGGCAACGGCAAATGGAAATTCGAGATCTGACAAACAATCCATAGAGCATAATATCGATTAACAAAAATTATAAAATATAAAGAAAAAACCCTTGTTATTACTGTATCACTAATCTCTGGTTTGTTGCAAATCCTAGGCTTCGGATCGCGATCGGATCGTGTGGACCTATAATGCCCCACTGCAGCCGCACCAATTGGCGGCCCTCCAGCGACAGCAGCAACAGCAAGAGCAGCAATTCCAACAGCAACAGCAGCAACTCCAGCAGCAACATCAGCAGCAACTCCAGCAGCAACAACAGCAGCAGCAACAACAACAGCAACAGCAGCAACTCTACGGTCAGCAATCGCATTCAAATTCACATTCAAGTTCCATTAGTTCGTCGCCCCAGCACTCGGCTGTGGGCAGTCCGGCCTCGCCCACGTCGGTTTCCTCGTCGGTGATGTCCTCGTCGGGCTCCAAGGGCGCCCTGGGCCTGGGCAGCAGCAGCAACGGTCCCATGGCCGCCGTGCAGCAACAACAGCACCAGCGGGAGCAGGGCGGCCAGGTCGCGCATCCGCCCAGCGGGATTCCCGGCCTGCTGAGCTGCCCAGGCGGCGGGCCCGGAAACAATGGTGGTGGTGGAGGCATTTGTGGTGGCGGTGGTGGTGGCAACAACGATCAGAGCGTCTCAGAGCCATTTCGAATATATCTAGTCCCGACTACCAAGACGACGATAACTTATTAAGCTCTCGCGATATTCTAGGCGGCATGGTACTTAGCGATCCCAGTGACTCGGACTCAACCATTCTCGTCTCGGACGCGGCCGCCCAGCAGCGCCAGCAGCTCAAGCAGCAGTTGCGCGCCCAGCAGCAACAGCAGAGGGAGAGGGACAGGGAGCGGGAGAGGGATCGGGATCGGGACCGGGAACAGTCCGAGCACAAGGTGGTCATCCAAGTGCGGGGACTGGACAGCAACAGCAGCGGCGGCGGCAACGGCCGCTCCGAAGAGGATGTGGTCACGCTGACGGAAGAGCCGCTGGGCACGATGGCCATTGGTATGCGGGACGCCTCGCCGCCCGTCTCCGACGATGGCAGCGATGTGGAGTCACTCCACTCATACCACTACTCGCCCAAGGCCGTGGACATGCCCTCGGCCATTCGCCTGGCCAAAAGACTGTACTCACTCGACGGTTTCAAGAAGAGTGATGTGTCGCGACACCTCAGCAAAAAGTAGAAAGATATCTTTAGTATGCAATTTTAAACCATTGTTTACTATATTTTCCCGCTATTTACAGCAATGACTTTAGTCGAGCGGTGGCCGATGAGTATCTGAAGCATTTCACCTTCGAGAAGAAGTCACTGGACCAAGCGCTGCGTGAGTTCCTGCAGCAGTTCTCACTGTCCGGCGAAACGCAGGAAAGGGAGCGGGTGCTGGTGCACTTTTCCAAGCGCTTCCTCGACTGCAATCCTGGCACCTTCAATTCGCAGGACGCCGTGCACACGCTGACCTGTGCCATAATGCTGCTGAATACGGACCTGCACGGCCAGAACATGAATCGCAAGATGAGCTGTGCGGAATTCGTCGACAACCTGGCGGATCTCAACGATGGAGAGAACTTTCCCAAGGATGTGCTCAAGTCGCTTTACCAGGCCATTAAGACCAAGCCGCTGGAGTGGGCACTGTAAGAGGTGTAAACTGTATTAACTATCATTTTTAATCATAATTTATTGTTCCAGAGATGAAGAGGCGGGCGATCTGCAGCAGCAAAGAGCTAACAACAGTGCCCTAGGGAATGTGGGTCAGAATCCCTTCCTCGATCCCCCCGAACTGGCAACAGCTGTGGAGTACAAAAAAGGCTATGTGATGCGTAAATGCTGCTACGACAGCAGCTATAAAAAAGTGAGATATATAATGATGTAATGGTAGAAATTTTTATTTACTAATATCCTTTTATCTAGCTCCCTTTGGCAAGCGCTCCTGGAAGATGTTTTACTGCACTCTGCGTGATCTTGTGCTGTATTTGCATAAGGATGAGCACGGTTTTCGCAAAAGTCAAGTGAGTACAATGCTCTTCCCATGTGGGAACTATTAGTAACTTGCTACTATATCCACAGATGTCCGACAATCTGCACAATGCAATACGCATACATCACGCACTGGCCACCAAGGCCAACGACTACACAAAGAAGCAACATGTGTTCCGTCTGCAGACGGCCGACCAGGCCGAGTATCTGTTCCAGACCAGTGACTCCAAGGAGCTGCAGTCGTGGGTTGAGACGATCAATTATGTGTGCGCCGCTATTTCAGCGCCACCGCTCGAGGGCGGCGTGGGCAGTCAGAAGAGGTTCCAGCGTCCGCTCCTGCCCAGCAAACAGTCCAAGCTGCTGCTGGTGAGTACAGAAAGATAGTTACTCCGTGTACGATCAGATACTCATATTCTCATGGTGTTACAGAAGGAGCAGTTGGATTCGCACGAGGTGCAGCTGGCCCAGTTGGATCAAGAGCTGAACGAGCACAAGAAGGGTCCGATTCCCAGCAAGGGCTTGGCTCTGCAGAACTACAAGGAGAAGGAGAGCTACCTGCAGTACGAAGTAAGCTTCAACTATATACCTTTCGAACTGAATCGATTGCTAATTCAATTGATTTTGTGTACTCCAGCTGAGACGCTACCGCACCTATGTGAGCATCCTGAGCGCCAAGATGCTGGCTGACCAGCAGCAGCTGGAGTTGCAAGCACTGCAGCCGACTCCGGCGGCGCACGAGGAAGAGGCCGACACATTCCCAGTGGGCACCACCGCCTGCCCGCCAACCACGCCGCAAAGTATTAACCAGAAGGATCTGCAGAAGGAGCAGCAGCAGCAACAGCCAACGAACAGGTACAGTCAGCAGCAGCGCCCCAGCGGCAGCAGCTCCTCGTCCGCCGGCCATGTGCAGCAGGACATTGGCTGACGCGTAATGGGAGTTTTCTCAGCTTGTGTGGTTTAAGCGATCGCTCCGATCCACTCGTTATATTCCGTTCATATCCTTAGCTATATGTTTTTTCTGTTCCTTTGCCGCTTTCGTTGTTATTTTGTGTTGAGCTTTCCCCAAGATTTCCCTTCTTCATTACTGTTGTGTTGTTCGTCCCGCAGAGCGCCCAGGATCTCAGTGTCGACCAATGTGGGTTGGCGCAAGCTACTCTGGGACTCCGTTTGCTGCGGTGTTTTGTTGTGTTGCTGGCATTACTGTGCTGTTATCACTGTTTTAACCTAATCCGTTCTCTGTGTAAATATATTTCGTGTGCGTTCCTTTCGTTTTGCATTTCGCATCGCCATCATAATGCCCCACATCCCCACAAGTACAAGCTTTAATTTTGAATAGTTTTAACTACGATACGTATAACAATAACTGAATCCAGACTTAAGTGTTGCGCGTTGGCAATTAAAACCACGAGGAGACAGAGGAGACCCCTAATGTAATTAGTTCTTATGTGAATAATGGTTTTATTTTGGATGCAACCACAACCACACAACATGCTGTGAAAACTCAATGAACAATTCATAATCGATAATTAGGAATTTAGAGACTCAAACGAGTGACCGTTTGGAAAGGATTTAAAGTCAAGATTCGAATAGTTAACTATAGAAAACCGTTTTTTGTAGCACTAGTAGTAATCCAAAGTTTTGGCGTTATATGTATACAAACAACAAAAATTATATTTAGAAACGAAATTGAACGAAGATTGTAGAAAACACAAATGTGGTTCATTAGTAGCAAACGTTTACGTTTAAACCTAAGCTAGAGGCATTCTAAATATACATGCAAACAACATAATCACAAACGAAAAATAGCATTAAACACGTTTTACAAACCCGCACACATCCAGCAGATAGAGATACAATTTTAAGTAGACAGAATCAATTAAGCCATTCCACACCCACACACGACACGATACTGCACTAATTGCTGGTGGTTACACCGATGTACCATATAAGACTCATGCTAACCCGACGACATTTGGTGACCCCGACCCCTAGGTGAACCCAAAGCAGTTGCCGTTACTCGTTGCCCGTTTGCCATTTCGTTATCCCGTTCAAATGCGTTGCTACGTTCCACCCAAATGCAATGTCACAAGTGAAAAGCAAAACCCAAATGGAAGAATTCTTCAATCTTACAGATGGTTCGATGTCTTCTGCTGCTGTAGCCCACTCTGGCGGCACTTGATCCATTCGAAAAGCCATTAACCAACTTAGTCTCTTGCCAAGATTTAGCATCAGCCACAGCACAGTCCACGAAGCACCGCGCCAGAGGCTAGTGATCCGCTCCAAGAGGTGCTCCTTGTAAATGCCCCGACCGTACTGACCGCCTGTCTTAAATGTGAGCAGGCCGAGGCCAAATCTCAATGTTAATTGTTAACTCTTCAGTGTCTAGCTTGGCTTAGTGCGAACCTATACGAATATCCACCATCTGACACCCCGTTTTTCGTTTCAAAATCCACGATTGCTAACCCCGCTTATCGTTCTACACTTGCAGAAAAGAGAAGAAAAAGAAATAATTAAGTTTTATTTCGCTCTTGATTTCGATCATTTCAAAACTCGTATACCAACACACACACCTTCACCAAATCCCCGCCTTCTGGCCATTGGTAAGTGCCACGCACAGTTTGAAATTGTCAGCTATTCGACTTAAGCATGTAACTTATGTTTTCTCTTCCCACCAGAGCAGCAGGCGATTGAATGAATGAATTTGAATAGAATACTCCGAAATGCCAGGCTGCCTCCGCCGGGAATACAGACAGATCAGATTCACAGATCCACAGAACCACTCACCCACTCGCATACTCTGCACCACTCACGCCACACCCACCCACTTACACTCAAGCGTTGCGGCTGTGCCGTGCATGCCACAGAAGAAATTCGGAATTTGTGCACTTTCAATTATTGAAACCCCAAAATGGGGGCTAAATGGGAGAACATTTGAGACAATTAGACTACCAACACGATAATTAACGAGGGAAAGTTTTACGTTTGAAGGTCGTTCATCAGAAGGTATCGGCACTATCTCGAATTCGAGCATTTGATATCATAAGTATGAAGCTACTTATCCATAAGCGGGTACTCGAAATCGGTTTCACTGAGTTGAAGCTATACAATCTATTCGATTCGAATTTAATTTGAATTATCGTTCATGTTTGCTTCGCCAAAGATTCTGCTGGACGGCTGCTTAGGAGCGAGAATGAATACTGCTTATACACATAGACTTATTATTACAAGAGTTGATAAACAATACTTACATCATTACCTATGCTATCATTATAAATGATAAAAATAAATTATAAATTATTGAACAATATCTCTACGCAACTAGAAGATGGAGAACATCGGCAGTAACAATAACACAATGAAAACGAGGACAAGAGCATTAGCATTAAACCTAAGCAATTACAACCATACCACGTACGACTTGTTTTTGGTCTTTTGCGATACATTATCACATTATCTGTGTAGGTACACTTACTCTAATATTATGTACGGATTAATATATTTATTTAAACACTTATCGGTTGATTACGCGACATGTCCATGTAGCTAGAATATGAAATTGATATCGATTACGGGGTAAAGAGAGACAAGGAGGAATCAATAAATTTAAATACATCATATATTTTTGAATATATTATCATTATTTTATTGTGTAATTATGTAAATGCAGATTATATAACATTGTTTATAATAATTTTTAAAATTCTACTGAAACGGCAATAAATTCGAGCAAACAAACTAACTAAAAAGTGAAAGCAACTTGCCTGCAAACCAAGCGCCTAAATGTATGCATATTGTATATTTATTTAGTCAAACATTTTAACTGGCTTACGAGGGCATCACTTAGTTTTAAAAGCATATACACATATACATATATGAACAATATATAGTATATATATGAATGCTCATGTGAGCAACCAAACAATTACGATATGAATCATTAAATACTTCCGAAAGCATTAAACCCGTGCCGTTTGACTTTAATCCTCCGTCTTGAAAGTGAACGAAGTGTCCGTCTCCATCAGCATATTCTCCAAACGCAAACTTAGCAGGCGTCGCTGCAGATCCACCTTTACCACCGATGCCACTATGCGATCGCCGATGCTCAGCTCGCTGTTTTTCATGTGACTGTTGTGTATAAGGCCATCCCGCTCCACTCCCACGTCCACAAAAGCACCAAACTGGGTTACGTTGGTCACAGCACCTGCATCTCGGAATAGTTACAATAAGTTCTAACTTCAACTTGGTCTTGCTGCACCCACTAACCTGTGACTACATCTCCTATGCTCAGATCATCCAGCCGTGTTAGGCCCTGTTTGAAGAGAGGCCGCTTGTCTAGATCAGCTCGATAATCTTGAAGCAATTCGCGCTGTAGGGCAACCAGTAGAAATTCCAACTGAAACAGCAGAATCAATTTTAAACATATTTAGTAATTCAGTTATTAATTAGCACAGAAGAAAGGATTATGCTCAGTACTCGGATCAATAAATATGGATCAAGTCTTTTGATATTATTATTTTCTAAAGTTCGATCACAAACTTGGAAATCTGATTGAAGTCAGTTAAATAGGCAATATTATAGCCATTTTGGGGTTTGAAATATTAATAGAAACAAGTATATAGGACATAGATGACTTACCCGCTCCATTGGGATCTTGTGCTGCTTGGCTATGCGATCGAGATTCGATCGGGACTCTGCAAACTTCTTGATGCTTGCTATAAAGGCAGCCTTGCCTACATCTGACAGCTTCAAATTACATTCCCCCACGATACTGAAAGGACAAAAAGCATTTCGTTTTTAAAATTTGAAATTATCAATATGATCGCCGATCTGAAGCGGCAATATGATGAGCGCTGGCATTATCCCCCAAAGCTGCCACCGACCAAGACTAAGTATGTTGCTTGTGGAAAGGTGCCCTTTTACGGCCACAACGATAAGCCGGACTACAGGCCCTGCTGGCAGCATCCGCTTAACGTGCCGAACCAAGCTCTCTTTGGAGTTTGCTGGGAATATCCGCCGGAGCGGTACAAACGTCGCCCACTTCCGCCTCCATGCCGAGGATCGACCATACCCGTCCATTTGCTGAAGCCCACTTTTAAGCATTGCGAGAACATCTACACCCGGTATGACTTTAAGCTAGAGGAGTGCGTGCATGAGCAAATTCTAGTAGTTGATCAGAAACTTAAGAAGCTCAAAAATCAGCTGGCCAAGGCCAAACCCTTGCAGATCAAGAAGGTTAAGGAGATGCGTTATCATGGAGTGCGCTATCGCATTTTGGTCGGATCCACCGGATGCACCAAGATCTATCCAGAGTACCTCAGCAGAATGACCGAGGAGCGGGAACTCTGCGAGTTTCAGAGGGCCTACAATATCGTCAATCAATCCAAGTAAGTCAAATTTTTATCCAATGCCACCGCTAATAGTGAACCCTTAGTTCTGATTTGACCAAATCTTTTTTGGATATGCGTGAGTCCAAAGAGGAGTTGGATCTGCGACTGACTAGGCTAGACCGATCCCTAGATAGTATATTTTTGCAAGATCTGGACTCGGTGTTAAAAATTATAGAAGACCTGAAGACGTACTTCTTTGGCGTTATCGTAAAGCTAAAAACCTGGGCAGAACTGATGGACCCGATGAAGGAGCACTCTATCGAAGACTATCTGGCGCTTTTGAGCCAGGATTCGGACTTCAAGAGCTTCATGAGGGCCGGCATGGAGAATTGCACTTGCAAGCGGTGCGACAAGAAGGATCCCTTGAAGCCGTATCTTCCTTGCTGGTGTCAGCACCCTGAATCCAGCGATGAAACATTAACTAAGAAATTCGATGATGATTGTCCTAAGACCTTTGCTGCCGTCGCGCAAAGCGACACTGACGTTGTCTATGAATCTAGCACTTCCATGCTAGTGAAAGCGGAAGCTGAGAAGGCCAGGATTGCAGCGGATCGGGCGGAGTAAAGTGCTTCTTAATAGGCTATTCAGTATCGTTTGTTGTATAATAAAGTTGGCTTACCTTTCCGCCACCTTATAGCTCTCCGGATGCACCCAAGTACAGTCTAGGGGATTCTGCAGTCGTCCTCCTACGCTTAATGGTTCGATGCGCACAAAGCCAGCGCACTGTACAAAGGATTTCTCACCTATAGTTCGCACCGAGAGTAGATCCTTGCGACACTGAAAAGGCCCCTTCTGCGTCCGGTACTCAATGATTTTTTCGGCCTTCTTCTCCGACAGACCAGCAATGTGCCTATAAGTCGCGAAATTGTTAGATAATATATGCCTTGAAGGACTCTTGGCATAAACCTACTTGAGCACACTTAAGCTGGCTGTGTTGAGGTCCACGCCCACATAGCTGACACATTCAGACACAACGTCCTTCAGCGATTCTGTCAGAATTTTCTCGGAAACATCGTGCTGATACATGCCAACACCCAGGTGTCTGGGCTCTATCTTCACATACTCACTCAGCGGATCGTTCAAACGACGCGCAATGGATACTACAGATAAATTAAAGTTGATTTTCATATTTCTCTTTTCATTTTAACTTTATGGTTCAAACCTGCACTCCTTTCGTTAGTATCCATATTGGGAAATTCCTTGGAGGCCACATCGCTGCAAGAGTAAACAGAAGCCCCGTTTTCGTTAACAATGCTGTAGCGAATACTTCTGCTGTCCAGGATGCCGGAGTGAAACATATCGGTTAGCCAATGCTCAGTTTCACGACAGGCAGTTCCATTGCCCAGGGCAATAATTTGGCAGCTTTCAAAGAAGTTTAAATTAATAAGAAGGTTCGCAAGTCAAACTACAAATAACATACTTGTGATCTGAAAGAATCTGAACCAATTTTTCTTCGGCTCCACGCTTATTAGACCTGGCCCCATGAGGGTAAATAACACCCGTGTCCAGCACATCGGCCGTCTCGGAAATAATTGCCAGTTTGCAGCCATTGGTGTACCCAGGATCTATGCCTAAAATGCGCTCTCCTTTGAGTGGAGACATCAACAACAGTTGCTTTAGGTTCTTTGCAAACACATCAATGGCTGCCTTTTGGGCCTTTTCCTTCAGATCGGCGCGAATCTGCCTGCACATCAATGGCTGCACTGTAATTATAGTTATTGATTAACATCGCATTAGTTTTCACTATGTTGTTCTTACACTTTTTTGAGTAGCATTCATCTAGCGATTTTGTAAACACCTCCCTTCTTAGGGGATACTGCAGGCCTTCGTTCATGTACTGATCTGATATGAAGCGCATCAGATCTCGTTTAAGATAGTCGCTGGTGTCTAATTTGACGGAAAGGAACTTATGCTTCTCTCCACGATTGATGGCCAACATTTGATGGGGTTTTATTGCTTTAATATCACCCTGAAAGTTAAAGTAGTTCTCAAACTTTGAGCTGTCCAATTTTTTGTCTGCGATGCCGCTAGATGCTTTACTCGAACTAGCTTTGGACGATGTCTTGGCCACCTTGGTCTTGCTGCACTTGAGGAATACCCGATGCACATTTTGTCTGAAATGGGATTATAAGGATACAGAAAAGGTTGGCAATAAAATAAAAATTATATCATATGTTTACAGTCTCCGAATTTCCTCCAACACATTTGTGTTCTTGCTAATGTTGTGTATAATAATGTTGCAGATTCCACTCATCACCAACGCTTCCGTGGCCAAGTCCACGTTACCGGGGTCCACAATTTCTTTGAGATTCACTTTTGGGACAGAGCCATAGAGCAAACGGTCGGCGTATTCTCCCAGGCCCAACGCTTTGGCGCGTTCCGCCAAAGTGCCCTTACTGGCTGGCTTGTAAGGGGCGTATAGAAACTCCAGTTCCTCGTTGGTCTTGGCGCACATCAGCTCCTCACGGATTTCCGTATTTAGGACGTTGTCACGCTCCAACTGACTGACGATATTCTCGGCCTTCTTGCGCAGATCCACAATCTCTGTATATGTGTTGCGAATGTCTCTCAGTCGATCTGGAGCTATGTGATCCACCAGATCTCGACGGTAGCTGCAAATGCAAATCAATCGAGAGGTAGTTCGAATAAATGTTGATTGAGACATACCGACAGATAAAAGGAATGGTGTTTTCGTTCTCAAAGAGCTGCACAATATTCCTCGCTGCCTGCGGCTGTATGTTCTCCGTTTCGGCAAGAAGCTCATGGATGTTCCACACCTTGCGGCGCTCCCAGAAGGAACTCCGTCCAGTGGTGGAGCTGGCTACAGGACCATCTGGTTGGGTCATAGTTGATGGTTCTACCACGTCCTCCTGGTCAGGATTACTCTCATTGGGACAATCATGTTCGGCTTCCTTTTCCTTTCTGGCACGCTTTCTCTTGGGAGCTGGAGCTTCGGAACTCCTTTCTGTGGAGGAGCTAGCTGCAGGACCTTTTCGTTTGGTTGTAGATGAGTGTGTGTCCTGGACATCAAGATCGATATTCTTCTCATTAGGACAAGCATTTTCGTCTTCTTTTTCCTTTCTTGCCCGATTCTTCTTGGGAGCCGCTGCCTCAGCAGATGCACTCTTGGATGTGGGCCATCGCTGGCGCTTGGTGCTGTAAGGTATTCTTATATATACAATATCCTTGCTGGGCTAATGGGTTCACCACTTACCCGCCTGCCTGGGCATTTGCAGCGCGATCAATCCTGCGGTTTTCAGTCTCCGGCGGCCTGTAATCATCGTTATCCGAAAGATTCAGCTCCTCATCCGAGTCGGAGTGCTCAATTACCACCTTTTTTGTGGCTGCAGCGCGTCGGGGTCTTGTGGACATTTTGAATATAAGAACAGGTCGGTAAAATTGGGGTCACAAAGCAAAGGTCTCCTTTAAACTGAGTTTGGGATTATTTCCGCACAGCTAAGAGGTTGCGTCTTTTGAGAATGTATTTCCAATTGTTTATTAATATACACAATATACGTTTTTATGCTTATATCAGTTGTTAACTCTGTAAAACGTCTAAAACAAAGTGGTTCAAAAATTTGGCGTGCCCTAGCTGAAGCCGCAAATTCCTGAATAATCGATTGGCAGCAACAGCTGCTTGCGGCATTTATCGATAGCGATTGCAGAGAAACAGCTGCTAAAGGCGGTTTTATTTTGCAACCTTATTTCATATTTAATTTTATCAAAGAAAATGCTAAGATATGCATTGCAAATCGGCGGAAAACAAAGCCTTGGATTCCCTCGGCACCTGACCAATCAAAACTGGAAGCGCAGCTACAGCAGCAAGATCAGGAACATAGGAATACTGGCGCACATCGATGCAGGTGAGCAAAGTCAAGGAATTTCCGAATTGCAACAAAGTTTACCTGGTTAACAATCGCAATTTAGGCAAAACAACCACAACGGAACGCATGCTGTTCTATGCGGGCAAGACCAGGGCACTAGGTGAAGTGCATCGCGGCAACACGGTCACCGATTACCTAACCCAGGAGCGGGAACGGGGCATCACCATCTGCAGCTCGGCAGTCACATTTCCCTGGAATGACCACCGGTAGGGGTTTCTCTGGCTATTGCTCCTTCTACGCCTAACTTATACCCTTTTATCCAGCATCAACCTGCTGGACACTCCCGGCCACATTGACTTTACCATGGAGGTAGAGCAATCCCTCTATGCGGTGGATGGAGTGGTCGTGGTTCTGGATGGCACCGCTGGCGTGGAGGCCCAAACAGTCACTGTGTGGTCGCAGGCAGATAAGCACAAGCTTCCCCGTCTGATATTCGTCAACAAGATGGATCGCCCAGATGCGGACTTCGAAAAGTGCGTCAGCGATCTGAAGGATAAGCTGGAAACGCAGCCCGTTTGCTTACAGTATCCGGTAAACAACGAAGACGGTGTATTGGGTAAGGTTCTAAGAATTCTTAAATGTATAGTTAATCAAAACTTACCTTTAGCCATCAACGATGTGATCACCCTGGAGCGACTAAGCTGGCAACAAAAGGATCTGGGTCGCAGCTACAAAAATGTAAAACTAGAGCCCTCAGATGATTTGCGTCAGATGCAGGAAAAGCGCAATGAACTGATTGATCAGCTTTCGGGATTGGATGACGAACTTGCCGATGTGGTAATCAGCACGGAGAGCTTCGACAAAGTGGATAATCACTAATAGAAAGAGCTCTTCGACGGGCAACCAGTCAACAGAAAGTTGTACCCGTGCTCCTGGGGTCCGCCTACAAAAACGTAGGCATTCAGCGACTAATGGATGCTGTTAATGCCTATCTGCCTGCTCCAGAGGAGCGCAACCAAATCTACGACTGCTTTGGGTAGGAGTGTAACTAAGATGAGGAATCCTTCCATATTAAAATCCTCTTCTTGTAGCACAGAAGTGGCTGGCAAGGTCTTTAAGATTGTACACGACAAACAACGTGGTGCGTTGACCCTGGTACGGATTCTACGGGGCGAGATTAAACGAGGTATGCGTTTGATTTCCGCTCGTGGCCAAGCAGAAGTTGTTTCAAAGCTTTATGAGCCTTTGGCGGACGAATATCGAGAGATCAGCGCTGTGCAAAGTGGTGATGTGGTGATCTGTGCAGGGCTAAAGGTAAACTATACAAAATAAATTTAATTAAACACCAACTTAATAAAAAAGTAGTCCACAGTGACGGGAGATCTGCTGACCTCCAGCCAGTCAGCCTTAAAGAATGCCCAGAAACGTTTGAAGCAAAGCCTGGGTGCTGCTGCGAACAAGGACGAGGAAGATGATGAGATGGACGAATCAGACGAGCTTTTTGCCATCGATCCACAGATACCCGATGCCGTCTACTTTTGTTCCATCGAGCCCCCCAGCGTATCCTCCCAAACTGCAATGGAGCAGGCATTGAGGCAACTGCAACGGGAGGATCCAAGCCTGCGGGTCAGCTACGATTCCGTCACCGGTCAGACAGTGCTCGGTGGAATGGGCGAGCTGCACATGGACATTATCAAGTCGCGCATCTTGAGCGAGTACAAAATCGACGTTGATCTGGGGCCCCTACAAATTGCCTATAAGGAGACTATTGATTCACCTGCGATGACCACGTTAAGTGTAGAGAAGGAAATCGCTGGCAGCAAGCAGAATGTCAGTATAACCCTGGAGGTGGTAAAGAATCAAACTGATTTGTTCAGGTAAGCTAAAATGCCAGATTTCTGCTTGAAATCCATCTGATTTTACGGTTTTCCACAAAAGCTTAGACAAGTCGCCGGAGAACTTGCCAAACCTCAATACACTGCGACCACGAATACTTCAGGTTCTTCGGAAGGGCTCTATTAGTGCTCTGGAGCGAGGACCCCGCGTTGGTGGACAGGTAGTGGAGACGCAGATTCGTCTGCACAACGCCACTATTGGTCGGGGCACTGCGGATTCTTTTGTCATGGCTACGGCAGCTCAGTGTGTGCAAAAGGTAGGTTGAAGCGGTGAAATGTAATGTGGTTAAAAAAAATTTTCCTCGACTTCACAGCTGCTAAGCACGAGTGGCACCCGGCTGTTGGAACCCATCATGGCACTTCAAATTGTGGCACCCAGTGAACGTATTTCCGGCATCATAGCTGATCTTTCACGACGACGTGCGCTGATCAACGATGTATTGCCGAAGGGTGATAGAAATAAGGTAAACGGCTGGGGAAGCGCATGTGTTTTGTAAGCCATTATTTACCACTCTTTTTATAGATGATTCTGGTGAATGCCCCTTTGGCAGAGCTCTCCGGTTACTCCAGTGCCCTGCGCACAATTAGCTCCGGCACAGCGAGCATGACGATGCAGCCATGTGGCTTCTCTTCCATGAACTCTGCGGACGAATCGCTGGCGGAGCGAAGAGCCCAGGGCCTTGAATAGTAACCAGTGCACTCAGAATTGTTAACTAGTTATACTCCGTCTAGCAGGCGGGCTGTCAACTGCCTGCTGCCCTGATTGGGCGGATATTTGTTTGTAAATTTTGATCTGTCCAGCAATAGATTTTTTTTGTGACTCAATACATGTCGGCCCCATAATTTGTTGTTCATTTTCAGACCCCTGAGCCTTAAGTTTTTTGAAAGTGTTGTAAATTCGCGTCACAGATTGGTTTTTTTTTGTCTGAAGCGCTAGTCGCAACCATGGCGTTCTCTACTCAAAAGGAGTTCTTTCACGTGCCGTTTAGTAACGAGACATACGAATTCGAGTGCATCGATTCGTGCGTTAAGCTAAAGAGCTATCCATCCACCATCGACGACAGATCATGGTCGGCAAACGAGGACAAGAAGTCGCAGTTTGTGGCTGATCTGGTGGCCTGCAATTCACCTATTAAGAAGCAACGTGACGAGGATGGAAGACCTTCGCCCAGAACTCCATCGGGACCAGAGGATGAGTACGGTAGCAACTTGGTGGTGGGCGACAGTCTTATTAATGCGGCCGACGACACTATCGGGCGAATGCAGGATCTGATGATCAAGAACAATATGCTCCAGAAGAAACTGGCCGATTCCGATGAAAAGCTGAGGACGGCCAACCAGGAGAGTGACGAGATCAAGCGAATTATGGATCAGCGCTATGACCCGGCCAAGAGCAAGGAACTGAAAAAAAAGATCAAGCAACTGGCCGACGACAATAAGATCACTCCGCAGGACGAGAAGGAGCTGAACGATCTGCAGGCGGCCATTGACGATATGAACAAGGCCCACGATATTCTGGAGGCGGAGAATGCCAATCTAAAGCGACTGATTGATAAGCAATCAAAGCGTTGCAAGCTGGACAGCATCCCTATAGAACCGGAAAAGAGCACCGACATCCCGTATCTGCAGAAGAAGATCGATGATCTGGGCAAGGAGGTGGCCCTACTGCGTCAGTTCGAGGACGAAGTGATGAAGCGATGTGCTAAGAAGTGCGGAGCCGATGGTGGCGGCGGCAGTGGTGGTGGTCCTGCGGGTTCCGGCGGAAGCAGAGGTGCTCCTGGCAAGGGCAGCTTCTCGCCGAATAAGGATGCCGATAACATCCAAAAGATCTTGGCGGATCGCGATGCTCTGCGCAAGAAGTGCAAGGAACTGGAGGAGCTCGGCGAAAAGGTCAACCAGCTTGAGCAGAAGGCCAACGAGGCCGAGTGCCTGACGAACAACCTCGAGGACAATCTTCAGCAGCAGTGCCAGTGCATGCAGCAGTTGCAATGCGAGATGCAGGAGATGCAGAACTACTACGAAAACGAGGTGGACAAGGCCAAGGGAAACGAGGAGATACTCAAGGTACATTGGTCTAGACAGATAAATTAATATAAATATATTACAAGTGGATTCCCTACCTCTCCCCACTAGTGCCGATGCAATCAGATGAAGCAGGAACTGGTGTCCGCCAAGTGTGCCGCCCAGCGGGCCCAGTGTCTGCAAATGGAGATCGATGTACTGCGAAACGAGCTGCGAAAGCGGGACATTGCCATCAACGCATACGACTGCCAGTACCAGCAGCTAATGGTGAGTATCGACAGGGAGCTGCTGGGACGGACCATCTAAATGCCTTTTACTCGGCCTCCAGATGAAGGCCAAGATGTTCAAGAGCGCCGGCTACCGTTTCCTCGACGATCTGCCACCCGATTGCAGCGAAAGCTGTGCCGACTGTGCCGAGGAGGAGGATGAAGGAAACGGAGCACCCTGAAACCGGAATAGCTTTCCCTTTCGATTAGATTGTTTCCAAATTTCCAACAGCCATTGATCGAAATCTATAGTTTTAACAAATTAAACCATTCATGAAACCGCCAAGATTGCTTTTACTATTTGCATAATAAATTCAGCTAAATTAAAAGATTATACGAATATAACGGAATAATTTGTTTAAATTCAAAACTAATTCTTGTAAATAATCGAATTAAAAATCGATAGCGGTTTGTTTACCTAATCGAATGTCACGTTTGCCAGCAGAACGCGTTAGTGCATTTCGGTTAATTCTTCAAAAGTTTGTTATTGCGGAGTTTTTATATAATAAATAAATTACGATGGAGAAGCTTGCGTCGGCCAAAACGTGTCTAAAACTGTTGCAGGTTAGTGGGTAACTGGTTTGGTAATCGAACATTTCCTTCGTAACAAGCCTTTCATTAATAATCGCAGGTTTTGCCTGGCGTGCAGCAGGCGGCCACCATTCCAGGTGGCCTGGCTCCTCCGCTCCAGAATCTGATCCAGATGCAGCAGGTGCGACACAGGCAGACCAAGCACTGGCAACCCGACTTCAAGCGGCTGCGCAAGCTGAAGTTCGTGAAAATGGATCTGCCCAATCTGCGAGAGAAGCAGGAGGATATCACCAAGGAGGAGATGCGCAGCCGGATGAAGGAGCGCGGTGTTCTCCCGCCGCGTCCCTGGATGGAGCGTCCATTCCACATCAGCTGCACTGGGGGCATCTTCGAGGCGTATGTGCCACCGGAGGGCGATGGCAAGAAGTCGATAATCTCGACATCGGGCGCCAAGCAGAAGCTAGAGTTTCTGGAGAAGAAGTCCAAAAGCCTGATGGCCGTGCGCAAGATTCGTTCCTACGAGGAGAGTTTCGGCACCGACGAGTTCGGCACCGAAGCCCAAGACATCTACATTCAGGCGCACACGCACATGGCCGCCAAGGAGAAGTACAAGATCCGTGAGTTTGTCACCGAGCGCTGTTATCCGGAGATGATGCACAACGTCAAGGACAAGACCATTCGTTGGAAGTTCTTGCAGTCGCTGGAGCCACCACGCGTCGTCCATGCCCGCGTCACCGAGGTGATCACCAAGGAGAACCAGTTCGCCCAGGTCACCGTACGTTTTCACAGTCAACAAATGTTGGCCATATACGACCGGTTCGGCCGGCTGATGCATGGCAGCGAGATCCTAACAAAGGACGTACTGGAGTATGTAGTGTTCGAGAAGCACATCTCCAATGAGTATGGTAAGTGGCGGCTGCACGACAAGATCATCCCCGATTGGCTGCCTGCCAAGGAGCCGGCTCCCATTACTTATCGCCTTATCGAGGATGTGGAGGAGGAGCCTCCAAAGGAACTGAGCGCCGGTGAGGAGGCAAAACAACTGGAGACAGGCAGCGAACAGTCCAAGGAGCAACTCCAACTGACCACGCCAGTTGAGAGCCGTGCGAAACCGTCTCTGACCATTTGATTGTACTTTTTATGGGCCGCCTGGCGGCTCAGAAGGATGCGCCTCAATGTAGCATAATGAGTTTTGAGTCACCACATTGTTAAATAATAATTTTTAAAAACATTTTTATTTGTTTTTATTTTATTATTATATTTAAACATACGAGTGTGGAATACACATATAAAGATATTTGCGGAAATGTAGGTATGAGCATATGCATATTTTTGGCTTTGATCATTTAGCAAGTTCATTGATTTAACAATATCCTATAGCTCCCATAAGAATAACCGAACAAATAACAAGAAACATTTTTTTGAATTAGGTATACAAAACATTTATTATTATTTGAAAAACACATTTTTAATCCATCTGCATCTTGTAGTTCTTTTAGTTGTATCGGTGAAGACGATCACCCCATTCTTAATATGGCTTATGCCAACCAGTAGATACCTTTTGATGCCATTAACCTCTTTATAAGTACCTACCACTAAACCGGGTGAATCGTAAAAAACTTTTAAGCCAAGCTGACCCTCGCATGCTCTATCCAGGAGATATGCTAGTCCCTGGTGGGAAATCAAAAACGCAAACAGAGCTAACAAAGACACTGACATCATTTTCAACAAAAATATGCCCATCTACTAGTGCTGATCCTCAATATTTTAAGATCATTAATGTTAACGTTGATAAGGTTTTTTTAAAAGATTTATAATGTATTAATGTGTGTATAAATACGCGAACACACGAACACAAGAAAATTGCTGATATAGATAACAAAAATGTGCTGGGCCGAACGTTGCAATTTAGTCAAAAGAAATTTCATTTGGAATCACTTTCTTTTCTTTGTACCTACTATAACACTCTGTTAATGATATAAACTGCAAATTGAGTGATAGGAAAATCCTTCCTTTCCCAATAACACGCATGAGTTATTACATGTTTGTGGTATATTTATACAAAATGTGGTAAAACTAAAGCTTATTGTTGCTAGTTATAAATACAGGCGTTCACTCAGTAGATAACATACAAAAGTTCGTCATGGATAGTGTGGAAATTTAACAGAGAGTAGGATATACAGTATCAATAAATAGTGCACATACACACATATATATATACAAGCAAGATCAGTAAAGCCATTTCAAATCCATGGGCACCCCCATATCACACAAAGCTGCTGCTGGGCTCGTCGAGGTAAGCACACCGCGAGCCCGGCTCCTCCAAAGACTTTCGCCCCAGTTCCAATGGTATTTTGCTCACAAACGTTGCCGGCTTGGTGGCTTCTTTGGGTGATGTCGGCACCTGTTTGCTGGGGGAGAACTTGTTGCAATAGTTGCCCGTGGGCTGGGTCACGGCCACGCCCCAGTTCGATGGCTTGATCGGCAGCACCTTTGGCTTTGGAGGCAGCGGAGGCGGCGCTTTGGCAAATTCCGTTTGGTCCTGCGTCTCGGCAGACAACTCAGTCTCTTGCTCCTGGTCGACCTTCATCGGCGACACCGGCTGTTGGCCCCGGGTGATGGATAGACGTGGCGCCGGCTGTGGAATCTCTGTGGGCGTGGTGGCCACCTTGCTCACGGGACTCAGGCTGGCGCGCACCTTGCGCAGCTTTGAGACAGCTGCGCTGAGATTCTCCTTGTTCTTCAGGAAATCGGGCAAATCGAAGTTGATCTCGGTGCCACGTTGGTCCTCCAGCCGTGCCAGCTGTGCCCGCTTCAGGCCTTCGAGTAGTTCATCTGGAATTGCAAACAAGAAAGGAAAACCAGTCAGCTTGGCATTCTTTGGCAGGGGCACGGCAAGGCTACCCACCTTGGTGCTCGGCTACTCGCTCCGTCACCTGCAGCTTCACGCCAGCTTTCAGCTTGGCTATAATCGGCTTCTTGGGGTCCGCGGTCGCTTGTGCCGTCGTCGCCTCCTCGGATTGCTGACTGCTAGTGGACTTCTTCTTGAGCTTGGGCAGCTTGCTGCCCGGAATGTTGCCACCATCGCGCTGCTGGCGCCGCATGCGTTCAAACAGCGACGACGACGTTTCCGAGGGCGCCTCGTTGGACTTCATGGAGCACAGATCGGCGGGCCGCGACTTTTCGGTGGCCGCCGCATCCGCCTTGCTGGCTAGCAACTCGTTGAACACCTTGTTCGTCAGCTCATCCAGCTGGCCCTGCGGCAGCGGCTTCATTGGTTTGCTTTGCTTCGGCGGCATGCTACTGCCGCCGCCTGCCTGAAAATCCGAATTGAGCAGTAGGATGCGCAGACGCTGGCCATCGGCCATGGTCACCGGTTGATTGAGGTCCAGCGGCGCCTGAGTGTCCCTCATGATCACCTGCACCTGCTCCATTTTGTAGTTGTACTTGCTGAGTATGGGCCGGATCACCTCGTGCAGCTGCTTCTTGGGCTTGCTCTTCACCGATATCACCTTGGGATCGGGCAGGTCCAGCTTGAAGGCCACCCGGCGCTCTATCACCACCTCCTTGCCGGCCAGCATTTGCGAAGGCTGTTGCACATCGATGGACTTGGTGCTGCCCTGGAACACTATGTCGTAGTACGGATACACTAGGTTCCTCTTCTCCAGCAGTCGTTCCACCAGTTCTCCTACTGTTTCTCCAGCTCGCGTCTGCACTATAGTGGTGGCTCCATCGGTGAGGATCACCCGGCACAGCGAGCAAACGCTCTCCGCACTGGCAGCGCCGGTGGCTGTACCCGCGTCAAAGGAGACAACGAGGACTGGAGCTGTGTATGTCGCTCAGGGAGTTCTGTCCGGAGACGAGCTTCAGGAAGCACTGGTGAGCGGGGCAGGTGGCGGTAGTGGTGGCGCCGGCATCAGCGAATTATGCAGGTCAGCCATTATCTCCGTTCGATCGCGGGACTTGCTCCGCGTCTTCCGATGCCAGGGAAGAAGACTCTTCCGCCGCCGATCCTCGGCGTTGCTAGCCGATTTTTTGAGCTGTCAAGAGAGAAGGGTTAGTTTTAGTAGGTATTCAGATAAGTATGTATTGATAACTCACCTTGGAGAAGGCACCCAAGTGAAAATTTGTCTTCAGCAGCTCGTCCAGATCCAGACCGCTGTAGGGCAGAGGCTGGTTCTTCTGCTCCGCCTCCACGCAGCTCTTGTACATATCCGAGCGTATGAAGCGCTGGTAGCTGTCGAACTTCATCAGGTTGAAGATCTGCTTCTGGGCCGGCGCAAATATGTCCGGAGCGGCACCGGCCAGCTTTCCTCCGTGAGGCTACGTGCCTGGGAGTCCACGTTGACGGGATCACTGCTACTATTGGCCAAATGTTGCCAAAGATCTCGCGGGCCTGTACCACGCGATCCGCCTCAGATTCCAGCAGACGGTATCGCTCGCAGGCGGTCCAGAAGTAATGTTCTCCGCGGAGAACTCCTTCTTGAGGAACTCGGAGAAGGTCTGCATGCCGGCGGCATCCTGTAGCATCCGCTCAAAGGAACCACCCCAGCTGCTGGGGCAGCCATGCTCCTGGGCCGCATCCTCTGCAGCAACGGAGGCGGTGATGGCGGAGGGCGGGGCCGGCGTAGTCAGGATTTTAGGCACCTGCAGCAGGCTGAGCTGATGCTGACTGCGTGTGGACTTCAGGTCTGAGTCCAGCATCAGGGTCTTAATGTACATGTCGTTGTCGGAGGCGTTCATGGAGGCAGTGCGTCTCACTGGCGACGACAGGCCCTGCTGCTGCAGCTGCTCTTTGGCCACCTTGTCGGAGCGGGGTGTGCGGAAGGAAGACTGTCCCCAGGCTCGGCGGAAGGGCGAGGCATTGGCGGGCAGAGCGCGGTTCTGGAAAGATAAAAAAATATTGTTATTAAATAAATGTATGTGATAGAATCTATGTGGAAGATTCTAAGGTACTTAAGAATTTTAGTATGTTTTAGACCTTAAGAATGGAAAAACATATTAAAAAGGTTTATTTTATAACGATTTTTGGATTATTTCAAGAGAAAATGATTTCCTACCCATGTCACATGTTTTTTCCTTTACAAACCCTTTATGTTTCAATTAAAGTGAACTTGTTGCAAGTGCAAGTACGCAATAGAGTAGAAAACAAGATGTCGATTCATGGGCCATTCACAGCTACAAATTGCGGGCATCCAGAAGAGACCGTCATTATCATGGTCAGACGGGACGATAAACTTTTGAACTCCTCAAGTCAAGTCATAAATTTGTTTGTGTGACGCATGGTAAGACTTCTACTTCCCCCCTCCAAAAAATACGAGTAAGCATATTTTCCAATTGTGTGCTAAGACATTCTGGAGTGGTTCTATGGGAGTTGCTTCGAGTCGAGTTCCCCTATGCTGATGATGATTATGATGATGGTGTGCCCCATACTCATACCCAAACCCATCTACTTACTGCACTTGGGGCCACGATAATCGCTGCTCAAACAAACAGAGAATCTCTCTAGTCGCAAACTGGTCATTGTATTTGTGCATTTCCCACCGACTTTTCGTTTAACGACAGCTTTTGTGCGCCATCCCCTTATGGCGAGAGATTAATGAATTCCACTCCTAAACCCATCATTCTATTCAGATCTCGAGTTTCGCAGAAACCATAACTCACTCCCAGCTCAAAAAACAACACACAAAAATACATTGTTTTGTCGGCTGGCTCTGATTGTTATAGATAAAAGAGAAAATTTTCAACATTTCCGGTTGGTTTTAGCTTACTCTCTACTCGAACCCAAAAGCAATTTTTATTCGTTTTGTGCATTAATAGAAACCATTTGTATCGAGATGGGCAGGTTCGTTTATATAAGTTATAAATTGATTCGACACACGCTACCAATTGAGCGGATTGAGATGAAATGGCGTTTAAGTCGTCAAGTGATAAAGAGTTCTCTCAACTGTTCTCATATCTTTGTGAACAAGAAATCCAACAAAATGCAATTTCATCATCATAAGAAATCCCTTGTGACGCCATACGAAATGCAAAAGATATGGCAGTAGAATATAACCTTATCGCCCTCTGAAAAACCAAATTGAAATATATGGGTCAAAACACAAAAAAACACTTCGAAACTACTTAAGCTGCACTTGAGTTTGACTTTGCTTTTTCTTGAAATGGGGCCTCAAATTTCTGAAAATTCTCCAAGCGGCATTAAACAAGCTGACAAACACTCATCAAAATCAACGAGTAAAAGCGGCGAGGCGAACATAAATCAACGCTGATTGCCAAACAATAGGAGGCTACTGCAGGGGGAAATCGGGGGTCCGCAGTCGGTAAGTAGGAAGTGAGCAATTTGCCAAAGAAAATAATTAAAATAAATAAATAAACGGGGGTTAGCTAATTTACAGATTGTCGATTCAAGCTGCAAATGCGAAATCGAATGGAAACAAAGGCAAAGTAACCGAATTTAGCAAGAGTGAATCGTGCAAGAATGAACAGCAATTAAGTACGACCACTAAGAAATCTCACAGCAAAATACACCGAAAAAAAAACACACCAGCAATCTCCATTCCGTTCCGTTCACTGGACAGAAGTGGAGGCGGGGCGGGGCATATTTCTCCGCTTCAGTGGACACTGACTTGGACATTTTCCGGTGCCGCCATGGTGGGTACGTTCACATCCACATTCCCATTTACATGGCAACCCCTCTCTTTCTGTCTCCACATATTAAACTCATCATTGGACACTGGGAGAAACCAGTAATTTAATAATTACCCATAATAACTATAATTTTCTACCTTATTTATAATGTATGAATACTTATTTAATTGAAGGTCATTTTTGCTGATTTCTTTTCAAATTAGATTTAATTTTTAACCCTCTACCGAAATCTTAAATAAATAGCTTCTTTAAACAAAATATATTATAAGTTTTTTGATACAGACAAATGAAAATTTAAATTTATAAATAAAACCAATTGTCAATCTTGATCCCAAATTGGAATCATTGGAAACCTTTCTCCCAGTGTACTTATAGACTCGGCTCAACTCTCTGGTTTGGCTTCATCTACATCTCCCGCTCCCCAACCGAGTGCCAAGTCATTGAGCTGAGTTTGCATTTCGAGACGGCGAAGAGCTGAAGACAAACAAAGTCCCACGAGTGAATTATCCGCAATGGTTTTCGGCTCGGGTTACCACTCTTTAGTGCCTGTCCATAATATAATTTTTTCCATATGCACAACCCGATCCCGATCCGTAATACCGATCGGCAACCTGCCGCCGCCTTCTGGGGTGGCACTTAATTAGCAGGGCTGCGGTAATTGGAGTCTGGAGCCGATGGAACCGCAACGCTCTGCTGGACATGATGGAAAATTGAGATCCATCGAAGGGTTTCGCTTTGGTCATTCTTTTTGGAGGGCGTCCACCTTGACGACTTGGGCGATACCATACGTAATCTGGTGCCCAGACACTTGAGAATATCACGTAGTCTCGTTCGGGGTACCCACCCGTACACGAAATATCTAGATTGTTCTGAATAGCACATTGTTCTTGAATTGGAACATTCGTCTACCGTAGTATATCGCAAATAGTACCAGATGTATCGGGCAAATATCACGCATATCTGTTTCTTGGGAAACACATTTCAAGGCCGATAAACCAGGGCGGGCAAATATGATATCAAAAATATGTATGACGAAGAAGGTTTTGGGGGTCCCATTTCAAAGACTCAACACTCAAATATTTATCTCTGTCTAGAGTTCCCGAAGTGTGCCAAAATTCAGAGAATTTATGACAAATCGTACATACCAGCCCTTATATTTTTGAATGCATGTGTTTTTTGTTCTCTACAGCTGCGGTTGAATAATGGCCCAAACAGATGTCATTAATGAATGCAAATTTTGTGGATCTAGGCATTAAATAGAACACATGGTTGGGATTTTCACTTAAGATAAAGAATATGAAAATACATTCTACCTTAATTCTCTACATAACTACTAAAATGGGCTATATATTTTTATATTTTTAAATTTTCCAAAAAATTTCCGTTTAAAAATTAAAATAAAATTGACTGGAATCACCAAGAAATAAAATTCTTCTAGTAATATATTTGTGACCCCTATTGTGGCATGAGTGTGCTGCACACTCCTTATAGAGGAAACAATGAAAACGAATCTTATCTAGCGAAAGGCCTCCGATTCAAAATAAAGCGAAAAGAGGGCGGCTTGGGGGTGGCTCATGCGAGGAGGGAGGAGAAGATAGAGATAGAGACGGCGAGTCTCATTAGAAATGCAAATGATAAACTAACCATAAGCGCTGATAAACCCGTGGATCTGGCAGAACAAACCTTCGGATTCTCTGGACTTCTTATTCGTTATTTTTGCGGCTTTTTGAGATTTAATTTCGTTTTTATTTTGTGGTATTCCAGGCCCAGGTGTGTTGGTGTGAGTGCGTGGGCAATGCAATGGCAAAAAGCGAAAACGTGACGCTCTTGTCAACTGGCTTTGGCTACACTTTCGCACTGGAATTCACTACTCGGCACGGCACTTCACTCTTTGGACTTTATGTAATTGCTTTATTTCACTTGGAAGTACTTGTATCTTTCGGAAAATGGAAACCGCGCGGAGAGCCGCCAACCCGTCGATTCAAACGCAAAAGTATCTGTGAAGTTGTCGTCGTTTAGCCAACAGAGATGTTAAGATTCGAGATTCCACTAACAGAAATGTTAAGCGTTGAATGTTACTTGCAAAAGAGAGCGATGGAGAGTGGAATGGAAGAGGGGATTTTATTAAATATCTTTCTTAATTATTGGTGAATTCTCTAATGTAATTTAGTAAGTTGAGTAATTTACTATCTGATAGAATTTAGTTTTTTTAGTTGAAGAAAATCCATAGACCAACAGAGAGCGGAGAGAGTGATCTTGGGGCCAACAGCTGGTTTAACAGTTTAGGGGAGGCAACTAAAACTGGATTTCGAAATTCGAACTCGAATGTTCATGTGTGTGTGCGCTGCTTATCATTTTCAATGGGAATGAGAATGCCTTTTGTTGTGTTTTTCTCTCTTTATGTCTGCTTCGTTCATTGCTCTTCGTTGTTATTATTGTTATTGCTTTTGACTATTGCCTGACACCGGCTGCTGGAAATTGCTTTTGTTGTTTGCATTGCTGCTTATGAATGAACGGCACACACACAGATACAAGTTTGCACAGCTTGTTGTGGGTGTGTTCCTCTCGCCCTCTCCCTCTCTCTCTCTCTCTATCTTACCCCATGTGACGCATTTATTGTTTTGCCTTAATTAAATGTTTTTTACTTTTGGCTTTTTGGCCAATTAATTAAGTTGCTTAGCGCTTTTGGCCACATTTTATACAACAAATGACTCGGTTGCCCATTTATGTAGGCAATGCAATTGCCTTAATGATGCAAAAAACATTTGTACTTTGCAAAAAAAATGGAAAATGCCGCCGAGTAAATAAATTGCCTAAAAATAGCCAAAACACGCTGGCAAATAAATTAAGCGATCACCCCCCTTCCAGTGCTGTAAACAAAGAGAGCCCCAGACAATTGGAATAATTAAAATGCCAAGCAAAGGCAACTGGAATGCGGGCGGCTTTGGCTTTGTTGTTGCGCATTTGGTTGATAAATTAAGCAATTTGCAGATATACAAAATAAGGATAGGAGAAGAGAGAGAGAGAGAGGGGCATGGAAAGCTGGGGAAGTGAGCAGAACGCGTGGAAGACCCCCATCTGCGCCAATTTCCAGATCATGTGAGAAGCACTGGAAAACTCTATTCCTTTTTTTCGCTGCGTGCGCGTTTTTTGTCTATAATTTCACAGTTATTTATGATTTGTTTAGCTAATGGCAGTCAGCAAAAAAAATAAAGGGAACCCATAATTTTCCA